GGATGGACACACAATATGCTACTGACAAAGTCCTTTGTCAGTGTTGTTCACATCCAATCGAATTAACAGTTAGTAAAAAGAAAAACATATTTTTGGTTTTGAGTTCCATGGTGGAGTATTCTGATGGTTTTAAATTATGGAAGAAGACACTGTTATGGGGTCATTACTCGCTACTCTGACCTGAGGTTTCTGAACGCATTTCATGAGAGAAACAAAGAAGTCAGTTATTTCTAAACACCACAGTGGAAACATCAACAGACTGATTTTCATTCAATTTTATCCAATTTATTTTCCTATCTACATATAATCCGAATCAACCCAACCACGGTCTAAAGACAGTTCGTCACAGCTGAGGCCCAAATTTCTTATCATCCGTTATCCGGAAGCGACTTCTCCTCTCATGGCAAGTTGGCTCTGAGTCAAACTGCCCTGACTGTGCACTTTAAACCACTGTCACATGGAAAACCATTTAAAGGCTTTTAGGGAATAAGCAACGTGGTATATCAGGATCATATGTCATTCTCTTCTCACTCAGTATGAGGCTACTACTTTCATTTGTTCACAGCAGCTGCCATAGGGTTCACTGTGATGGACACAAAGGCTGTGAGATGAAACTCATCAATTATGAATAAGGCTGGATCACCGTGTGCACAATGCCCCTGAAGTGTTTTAGTGTTTATTTGTTACTAATTTGCTGTCAAGTTGTGTCTCATCAACTTGTTTTAATTTGTTGTGTGTGTCAGTAATGATCAGACAGAAAACCTTAGTGAGGTTTACAGCCTGACTGTAAAAAAAAACCAATATAGCAATATATTTTAAAAACTGGCAATTATTCCTTGTTGTTATCAAAGCCTTATGACACCTGGAAGGACGCACTAAGAACATACGATATATGGACAAACGTATTGGGACAAACCTCTTAATCACTGAATTCAAGTTGTTTCATTCAGTCCCATTGTTATTGATTGAACAAGGCCACTTAGTTCCAGTGAAAGGAAATCTAAATGCTTCAGCTCACCAAGACATTTTGGATGATTCTATGATTCCAAGTTGATGGAACCAGCTTGGGGAAGACCCCTTTCTGTTCCAGCATGACTCTGATCCCTACTGTGTTCTCACAACGGAACCTCCTGGGCTTCTACAGACATTACACTAGAAGACCAGGTGAGTTCAATGAGTCTCTGAAAGCAGCCAAAGATGTTGAAGCTACTTTCACAAGAAACTAACAACTTTTCAAATTGTCGGCAGCAAAAAGACTGTTATGTATAACAAGGGTGCGAGGAGGGGCCCAAAGCACACTTTTGCCCCGGGGCCCCCTCAGGAGTTTGGCCTGGCCCTGGTTGTAGCTTCATATACAGGAGTTGTGTGTGAGCCTGGTTCTGCGGGTCACTGCTCCCGACCAGCACACACACATTCACTGAGTGGCCCACAATGACATTACACACAACAACACACACACTGACCAACAATGACGGGGTAACCATGGTGAAGCAGCACTGACCTCTCTTTGGTCCGTTCTTGCATCTTTAGAGAAGCCATC